TGTGTTTATGCCTCCTATTCATGTTGAGACCTTGTACCCTTAAAGTATCCCTTTGGCATCTAGTGAGCTTATCCCAGCTTGTTCTTTCCTTTGTTTTTATTTATTTATTTATTTATTTTTAAATAGGCTCTTGGTTACATTTTAAACTCTGTGCTTTTTAATTTATTTTTTTTTTTCATATAGTCTCTCCTTCCTTTTGATGTAGCTGCTCACTTGATTTCCCTTTGCAGTGGCCTCTTTCTCTTCCATGTACCAGTCCAGTTGTCAAGGGAAGTTGCACAGGAGCATATCCTGGGCAGGTATATTTATATATCTTTAAGGAAAAAAAAAAAAAAAGTATTGCCATAGAAGAACACCTCTGATTCATAGAAAATGTATCCCTCATACTTCATTTTCCCCTTCCATGTCTCCTGTCTGTACCCAGTCTCATTACTCTCAACAAATGGGATCTTGACTAGCATGAAGAAGTCCAAGCCAGATCCAACATTTGCAAGTGCAGACAATTTCCTAAAGCAACTTCTGTTTTAGCTGGGGTGCATTGTGAGTCATGAGGCACAGTGTTAAATGACCTGTCAAAATGTCTGAGTGGCTTGATTAATTGAATTATTTATTTTCAGCTTCATTTTACAATTGGCTTTGTGTTCTGCTAAATGTAAAAGCTCCCACTTCTGAGAACAGCATAGAATGCTACAGGATGAGCTACCCTGAAATGAAGTCCCACGCTACTCAGCCCTCAGGAATCTGTCAGAATTGAACGCAGAAAAGATAAAAGGAGCTGATATATATATCTGATACATATAAAGTTTGATGTTACAACGGATGCTGGTTAAAAGTTTTTTAAATAAACAAAGAAGAAATACATTTTAGGGGAAAACCTGCTAAATTCTAGCTTTTTGGAGGCTCTATAGTAGTGTAAACTCTTTCTCCACTTCAGTAAAACTGACTTCCTAATTAAATGAAGTGGAGATCAAATTGCATACCTGCGTTGCTTTGATAATCTGCAATGCTTTGCGATTTTAATTACAGGGTTGAAATGTCTTTCTGCCTTCTTTCCTTCACTGGAAAATTCTCTGTAGTGCAGCAGGGTATTCTTAACTGCTGGTTGTTGTTTACAGAGGCCTCTTAAAGCAACACAAAGATGCTGCAGTGAAATATTGTTCTGTACCTCTCCTCTCTGCTCATATTATTCTTTTCCCACCTAAAGAATAATTAGCGAGTGTTTGCATTATATAAAGCCACCAGCAATCTTGGCAGTAGCATAAGAGCTAGGGAAGTTTGGAAGTACTGGATTTATGCAGGTGTGTTCTGGCTTGGACAGCTAACCAGATCAGCACGTTGTTTTGGTTTTTCTTTTTTTTTTTTTTTTTTTTTTTTTTTAAATTTTGTTTTTGTTTTTAGAAGGTATGTGTGTGCAATGCTAACTCTTAATTGCTTCTTTGAAATAACTTTGGTCCTGCGAGCTGAAATCAATCCAGGAAAAGCTGCTTTAGTGATTTTTATTTATTTTTTTTTTTTGATTTTGCTGATTTTCTTTTTTGTGTGTGCTAATTTTTTTTATTTTATTTTACTTTGGAAAACAAATCTCGGCCTTTCAGATTGGTCTTCCAGTCCCTTGTGTGCGTAATGGGAAGCCTCCTGTTCTCCAGCCTTTTCCTCAGGACAAAAAAAGCAAGGCCAAGAGGAGCCTTTGGTCAGACTCATCCCTGTGGGTCAGGGTCACTGCCTGGAGTAGAGACAAGGTTAAATGCTGCGATAACCTCCTCCACCATAGGCAGGGCTTCCAAGGAGCTTTCTTGTCAGTGTGGTTTCAGTAACCATTTGTCTGATCAGATGGCACATGCAGGGATCCCAGTATTGCTGCAGTGCATGTATTACTCTTGCTCTCTTGTCCTTTCACATGTCTAGGGCTGAATCGTTTTGCTTCTGCTGAGACGTACTAGGAAAACTGCCAAACTGCAAGTAAATGGCTCCTAGTAAAATTTCTTACCTCCTTCTAGGCCACTACAAGGCACAGGAGCATTGCATTTCAATACAAGAAAAACTTACTTTTTTGCACACTTGAATAGAACTGATGTCTTCATTGCCTGGATAATGATGAACTTTTAATGCTAGTCTTGTACTTTCTTACATCTCTGTAGTTCCTGTCTGTCCTGATAACCAAGCATTGATGTACAAGGTCCCATTTCCTCATTCTGTCCCCTGCTTGTTCATCAGTAACAATTGGAAAAAACTGCACTTACTTTGACCAAAGCAGATGCAGCCCTTTGCTGTGAGGGTAAGGTGATCAGTTTTTCTATACAAAAGGGGAACCAGGAGCAAGTCTGACATGACAAGAAATCAAAGAACCAGAGCATTCATTCAATATGGCCTTCCATTGAAATCCCGTAGGGAAAAGGCTGGTACTTCAGAGGAGAGGATGGGGGCCTGCCAGCCTGTGCCTCTCTACAGACTTCAGTTCTTCTGCCTTGTGTCTCCATAGAGTCAGCGGTGGTGCTGGAGGAAGGGAGCCCTTCAGAAATGGAGCTAAAGGAAACCGAATCCCCAGCTGAGTCTCCAGAGAGTGAGGACATTGAGACTTCATGTTCTGAACAAGTCCTGAGTGAGGAAAGGTTTGGTAAACCCCAGGAGTCTTATAGCAGGGTAAGAAGAAACAGGTTAACCAGTTCTGCTCTGTATGCCAGGCCTGTCTTTAGACACATGGGAGAGTTGTCTGTGCTCAGATGAGTCCCTCTTGGCACCCTCTGAAAGAACTCACTACCAGTACCAAAACGCACATGCAGATTTAGAGTTTGGATGGCTTGCGAGGGACAGTGTGCAGAGCAGCAGCAGTAAATACCTGCATTATGCAAGGTCTTTGATCTGCATTGCTTTGTACTTGACACCTTGCTGCTCATCTTTCACTGGAAGGGTCAGGGGGTGCCTCGAGCGTTACTGTTGTTAGCTTTTATTTTGCCTATCAGAAAACTGTTCATCTTTGTTTCTCCCTCTTTAAGTCCTCCTCAACCTCTAGCCAAGAAGAAAAATCTCTGAAGTCAGAAGACCTGGTGGAGGGTGGAATTCCCATTGGGAGAGTCCTGCCGTCAGAGGATGGCCGAACACTGGAGGAGCTTTCCTTCCAGCCATCCCAGCCGCTCAGCAAGTCTAGTTCTTCCCCTGAGCTACAGACACTGCAGGAGGTCCTCAAAGATGCAAATGGCAGAGAAGTAACAAGGAGGCTGAGCACAGAAGTGAAATCAAAATCCCAGTCTGGGAACCTGGAAGGGGAAGGGCTGGGCAGTTGGCTGGGCAAGGGGGAGGACGCCAGAGTGACTGGGTCAGGCGGGTTGGATGGCACCGGTCCTGTCACCTCACCTCGCTCCCCCTCTGGGCACCGGCCCCGAGGATACACCATCTCTGACTCAGCCCCATCAAGGAGGGGAAAAAGGATTGAGAGAGATGCCTTCAAGAGCAGAACAGCAGCCTCCAATGCTGAGAAAGTACCCGGAATAAACCCGAGGTGGGTGGAGGGCCTTATCTGAAGCTAGAAATGGCGAGCTTAGAATTGCTGTGGCCATGGCTGGATTCGTTCAAAGTGGTCTGCTGGATTTGTGGGATCTACAAAACAGTATCTGATTAAAAAGAAAGATTAATTGCCTGCTTTTTCAGGAGCTAATACAGACATGTTGAACTCACTACCACCAAATTAACTTTGTGATTTAGGAAACAGGTCTCTTAAATGGTGAAAGAAACAGATAAATAGTTCCCTCATGTTCTTAATCTGTCCCAATTTAGGGTCCAGTTGCATGTGTGGCTTGAATGCAGGTCACCTGGGGTTAATTTTGCTGTGAAGGGGATGAATTACTAGTCTTGCAGTTCAAGAAATACAATGTGCAAAATACAAAGAAGGAAAAGAAAGGGTTGTAACAGTGGTTTTTTGAACTTTAGATATTGGTAGTTGCCCAAAATGGCCTTGTGAGACAATCTACATCTTACTGAGGGCAGGTAAAGTGCAAATGTCTGTAAAATCATTTATGTGCTCGCCTAGAAATACTCCCCATAGCTGTGATGCAGGAGTGCACTCTTACCCTCCGTTCTGTGCAAAGATTGCTTTTTGAAAGGGGGATTTGTGCAGCTCCCGCTGTTTGACATAACCATTGCTTTTTATGACAGGGGTCTATTACAAACTACAGGCAGTCCAGGCACCTGAAGTGTCTCTAGAAGATGAGTAATACTCTGCTAGCATTTTAATTGCTCCTCTTTTTCTTCTGTACGTAACGTTCTTACATACAGCAGATCAGAATTGATTTAATTTTTATGGTAACAAGACTTTTCCCCCCCTCTCTCCCTTAGCTTTGTGTTTTTACAGTTGTATCACTCCCCATTCTTTGGCGATGAAAACAACAAGCCCCTTTTGTTGCCAAATGAGGTAAGCAAGGACTTTTTTTAAATTCTTCTAGTTAATTTTTCTAACCTCTTTTTTTTTTTTTTTTTGAAAGTAAATGATAGTAATGAATGTCCAGCTCAGATGGTGCGATTTAAAGATGTTTCCTACCAATGGTGCTACAGATGGGAGATTTTCTGTACCCCCGTCCTGTTGGCTCCTGCTTTATGGCTCTTCATTGAATATGAGATACTGGGAGCTTTTGCTGGTGCTGTTTCAGAATCCCAGCCAGAAGGCAGGATGGTTTGTGGAGTTTTGGTTTTCGCTGGTAGGAGAAGTGCAGGATGAAAACTGAGCCTTAGGTGATACTGGCAGAATGTCACTAGACAGCCCTGTCAGCCCTCTATATGGTTGGGAGTGGCCAAGAAGCTTTCTGTGGTCGTATGAGAAATTAGCTGTAAACTTCCTGGAGAAGTAGTGCTGGATTGGGGCTCTTGTGACCTGAGCACCACAGAGCTCCTGCTGATAGCTTCCCCTTCCCTCACTTTAGGTTTGGGTGGTCGGGCAGTAGGGAGCCTCGGTGAGATGAGATGATGCCTTGTGCTTAAAATGTTCCTCAGAGCAAGAGACATGATCATTTTTCATGCCTGGAGCTTAAATGAAGATACGATGTAATTTGTCATGGCAAGTGCATCTAACCCGTGCAGTTTGCCGGATTAATCTCATCTGAAGTATAAAACCAAGACAGCGTGGTGACGGATGCCATATAGCACTGCTCTGTACCTCAGATGATGGCACACTGTGCCCTTGCAGAACAGAGTAGGGCAGCATTCATCAAGGAAGCTGCTAGTGAAGGTCAGGAATCTCTGCTTACAGTGTACTGTCGCTGTCCTGAAGGGGTTTTAGGGAGGGCAGAGGGTGTGCGGAGAGAAGGTTTTAAAGATGTGACCAATGTTTTAATGGCAGACATTTGAAAGATCGGTGCAGCTCCTGGATCAAATTCCTTCCTATGACACGCACAAGATTGCAGTGCTCTACGTTGGAGAAGGCCAGGTGAGTTGTGTGCAAATGCATTAATCCTTTAATGGTTACATCTCAGCAGAGGGCCAGGCACCAGTGCTCCAGCTGTGAGATTTGTCCTGCTCCTGCAGTAGCCTTGCTTTTCCTTAGTTTCTTGCACTAAAAATCACTGCCTGCGTGAAGCCCTTCTAGGAAGGTAATAACCTGACTGCTTGTGCTGATTGAGTGCTCTTGGCATTCAGTGTGGGACTCCCATGTTCTTATTTCCTAGAGCAACAATGAAATCGCGATTCTGTCAAATGAACATGGATCCTATCGCTACACAGAGTTCTTGACTGGGTTAGGGAAGCTCATTGAGCTCAAAGACTGTCAGCCAGATAAAATTTACCTTGGTGGCCTGGACGTGTGTGGGGAGGATGGACAGTTTACGTACTGTTGGCATGATGACATTATGCAAGGTAAGGTGGCTCCAGAAGTTGGAAGTGGAAGGTCTCTTCTCATCTGAAGACTGACCTCACTTCTACAAATTGTTTCCAGGGATGTAGTAAAGATGACCAGGGCTCTGTTCTCTTCCCATTCTCTCTGTGGTATCTCTGCAAGCCATGTGTTAACATTTGGGAAAGGTCCATACCTGCCTTATTTAAAAAAACAAAAAAAAAATCATACCACTTCTAAAATAGTCTGCTGTGTTAACGGTTGATATGGTTTGATGTAGAGGTTTGCAGAATAAGCTGTTTGTTCTTGAGCTGCTGTGAAGGCTGTTAATTGCAGGTAGCGTGTGCGTGTCAAAACTCTGCTAATCCTTTCTCTGAAGAACAGTCCTGAAAGCAGGAGGGTTGTCCTTACTGCGGTCATTGCTCATTGAACTGCAGCATGACCCAGCTCCCGCAGCACCAAGCAGCGCAGATACCGTCCAGGATCCAACAAGCTATGATGAGCTTCCCAAATGTTTTTGTACAGCCCTGTGCGCCCCAGTCACCGTACTTAGTCCAGTTCAGTGGAGCAGCTGCGGTTACTCACTGTGACCATGGAGCTGTGCAGAGCTCCGTTCGGGAAAGTCCTGGTTTAAGCTATTTAACTCTTCCTCCTCAAACCAGATTCTACTCACCATGCTACTGTGGTCGTAGAAGAAATACCCAGAAGCACTTCTGCAGTCCCCTGTTCATTTTCCATGTGCAGATAGATCGCTACCCTGGCGTGATGAGAACGCTTCTCCCACTATACATCAAGCACATGCTGAAAGCCAGGCCCTTAATTCACTTTTCTAAGCCTGGTGCTAGAGAAGACTGTGCAGGCCAGTACCTCACTCTGTGCTCCAGGTACCATTGGAGCAGTCCTGTGGGACTGGATTTGGCTGTCACAAATGGGGACAAACCTATTGAGAGAGTACAACTTAGGGTTTTTTTATTGTGGTGCTGGTACTATTTTGTCTTCCTGACAAGTTGACCATTGCTGCTTGCAGCACTGCTTTCCCAGGCCAGCCTAAGGATTTTTCTGTTTCTTCTTCAGCCATTTTCCACATTGCTACTCTGATGCCCACAAAGGATTTGGATAAATATCGCTGTGACAAGAAAAGGCACCTTGGGAATGATTTTGTTTCTATAGTTTACAACGATTCTGGAGAAGACTTTAAACTGGGCACAATAAAGGTACAAGATTTTACTTGTGGGTGTGTTATAAAATAGGTGTGGGGCTCTTTGTAAAACTTTAATTTGACATGTGTTGTCTTAGCAAACAGTGTTGAGAGCATGAATGGAGGTTATGTGCCTTGGGGGGTTCACGTGTGTTAGTTTATGGCATTCACAAGAATCAGATGGCTGCCAGTGAAATGTCTGTAACTGTTTTATTGCTTTCTCATTAGGGTCAGTTCAATTTTGTGCACGTTATCATTACACCACTTGACTATGACTGTAACCTGGTGACGCTGCAGTGTCGGAAAGGTAGGAATCCCTCCAGCCTTTGTTCTCAGTCTCTCCTGTATTGGTGGTGCAATAACTGCCTTCACTTCACAGTGGTTTTGTGTTTCAAAAGTAAAAACTTCCAGCAGCTCTCTGAAACCAATTTGCTGCCCAGTTGTGTCTGGATATGTCCTGTTCATGTATCTTCCCTGAGATAAGAGGTATCTTCCCATTGTACCGCTCATACTATCTTCAAGATTAAGACAAAGTGCCAGCAGAGCGGAGCAGGTCCCTCCAACAATTGCCTGGGAATACTGGAAGAGATATGAGGTGGAGGTCCCTGTGTCTTTGGCCTCTGCTGTCCTTCCCAGCACTGCAGGACCTGATACTTGGAAAATGGTCACGGCTCCGTGCAAGTTCAGCAGTGCTGGTGCAGTGATCATCAGGAGCCTTTGCTTTCCTTTTACCAAAGGGGCTCTTCTGGGGTGTTTTTTGCTCATGCTTTGCTTCATGTGATAAAGAGCCCAGCAGGCTCTGCTCAAACCTTTATGGAGCAGCCAGAATTTGAGAGCCAGTTGTATTAAGTTGCAGTGCAAGCTCTGTTACAAGTTCTGTTGTAAAGCAAGTTGGGAACTTCTGAGATGCTGTGATGCAATTCCTCAGGTTTATATTACTTATCTATTTAGTTACTGGCAACCTTTGGCTTGCTCTTAACCATCTTACAAGAATTTTTTTCTTCTTCCTTTAAAACAAAGACATGGAGGGTCTCGTAGACACAAGTGTTGCTAAGATCATCTCCGATAAGAACCTGCCCTTTGTAGCCCGTCAGATGGCCCTGCACGCTAATGTGAGTACCCCTGAGCTCACTGAGCTCTTCTGTCTTGCAGCTGGTGTCTTGGTCCATCACCAGCTCCCAAGGAAATGAGTAGGGCTTGCTAAAGCAAATAAGTAAGTTTCCTGCTTCAGTTATTGCTGTCAGCCTTTAAGTCAGAGTTAGTGCAAGAACGGTTATAGCTTTGAGCTGAATTTCAGCTGCTGTCGAACTACTGAAGCGTTCTGTTCATGTTATTGTCGTGGATATGTTAACGTGTCTCCTCTCTTTCCCCGCTTCTCCCCACCCTTCCCAAATTAGATGGCTTCCCAGGTTCATCATAGTCGATCAAACCCTACTGACACCTACCCATCCAAATGGATTGCAAGGCTGCGTCATATCAAGAGGCTAAGGCACCGGGTAGGTAAAGCTGTCTGTTCTTAGTGTTTAGAACTGGGCTGTACCTTAGAGCCTTACTACGAATAAGGCACGTAAAGTCAGCTATCAAAACTTGCTGACAATGTGTATGAAGGTTAGAAGCCAGCTCTTCTGAGAATGGCAAGTGTAGCAATGTAGGTCTGGACTTGCAAGCTTCCAAACAGCTTCCCTGGTGGCGAGGGGCTTGGGAACCTTCGTATCTGGAGTCAGAGCTGCACCCACTTGGCACCGTGCTAGGGATGGGTAGGACAAACTGTCCTGAGTAATTGTCCTGCCCTGCCCAAGTGGAGAGTAAAGAGAGTTTCAGAGAGAATGGAGCTTATCTGTGCTCATTTGACTTTCAGCTGCGTGAAGAAACCCAGTACCAGACTCCTGGCCTTCCCCTGCAGATTCATCCGTCTGCTCCGACAAAGCCCCCTTCCCAGATTCCCCAGGACCCTCCACCCACCTACGAGACTGGACAGAGGAAGCGGCTCATCTCCTCGGTGGACGACTTCACAGAGTTCGTGTAGATCCCAGCGGGTCAGTGCGTCTGCTCTGGGACGGACGAGGCAGCAGAAGTGTTTTACCTGCGTGCTGACTCCATGCGGCTGCATGGACACAGAGGAGCAGGGTTTGGCAGGCGCAGTGTGGCTGTGCCGCTTGCATGCAGACCTGGCATCGAACCATACCGGAAGGCTTGGATGTTTCACTGTCTCAGCCTGCCACGGTTGCCTGAGGAGGACACTGTATCCCAACAGATGCTCCAGGAGAGGACCAACCCTATGTGTTTTAATTTGGTTTGAGCTGTTTCAAGGCTTCCATCTCTGACAGGAACTTTCTTGCAGAACCATTCTTTGGCCTCCTTCCATGCCAGCTTCTGGTGCAAGCAGACAAAGTATGATATTCTGCACTTCATCATGTAGTTGGAAGGTGGCAGGAATTGTGGGAATTTTGATGACTTTATTGTGAATTAAATATCCAGTCACTATTTCTAAGCACCCTGGAATCCCAGCTCCTCTCCAGGCCTCAGTGCCTCTCAGCACTTGAACTCTTTAGGCTCTCAGACTTGTTCTGCTGCCAGCTTTGGTAAGAGTTAACTGGGGTTCTCACGTGAGCTGCCAAATGTGCAGCTTCAATTACCAAGGATTTGTCTCCATTTTGAGAGATTCACAGTCAACCCTCTCTCGTTTGGCAGAAATTATTTTGCTACCAGAAGTGATGCAGAGCAGGGAGGTGGGTGCCCCTGGCTGCAGCGGCAGAATGGCAGAGCTGGGGCACGAATCGACGGTGATGAACTGTCTCACCCACCGGGCTGACTGTGAGGATTGACCCAGAGGCCAGACCTGGCTTCTAGGTTCAGCTGCAGAATTCCCACTGGTTGCAGTGATGCTGGGGATAACTCTTGTCCTTCTCTGTGCACCCGCTAAAGCCCTTTTTGAAAGACTGCTGATGTCTCTCGGGGCGTTTCGCCTGTTGCACTAAGGCATAGTGACAGTCTCCTCCTGGGACCTCGACTGTTGAAGCGGTTAATGAGCGGTCCTTTCGGTGCACGCATGTATGGGTGGAGCGGGATTATGTAGCCCATCTTGTGCTAAGATGGTCATCAGACACTACACTACCAAACTGGGAGAAACCATGTAAGCTGGACTATACTGTGAGTACTTTATCTCCTGCTTTGTCAATGAAGGGGAAGCGTTGGCTTTTTGGTAACGGATAACAGCAGCGCCCTTGCAGCGGAGATGAAGACGAAGTGCAATCTGCACACATGACTGTGAAGTGACGGGCGAGGGGACAAAAGCGATGCTACTGGCTTGTGCAGGGCTGTTTGGGAACTCTAAGTGTACGTTGTGGTTTTGAGTGTTTATAAGTCGTAAAGGAAATAAAATATTCATATGGTCAGTGGGTTCTTACTGGCCTGGGAAGATTCAAACTGTGTTTCATAATAATGTAAATTCCTTCCTTCTTTCCCCTTTCAGTTTCCCAATCTGTAGCGCTCATGTTTTGGTAACCACCAGCCACCCCTCCAAGTGCTGGACATGGTGCAATACCTGGCTGCGTTCCAGTCCCTGTACTGGGGATATTCCCTCTGGTTCAGCTTCAGGTAACCTCTGCAGCGGGAGGGTGGGGCTTTTCTGTCTACATTTCCCACCCCGGGGAGCCAGAGCAGCTCGCCTGCCCTCCCGGGTGTGTGCGCGGCGGCAGCCTGGGGCCCGGTGAGCCCTTGTGCCGTACTCCGCCTCAGTGGAGCCTCCTTTACGCTGACCGCAGACCCTTCCCTGACAGGCTGATGTGGTTAATTACAGCCCAGGGCTGCCCCATTAGGCTGGCTGATTTAAGAAAGGGTCTCGTAATGTGCAGGAGACCTCAATTAAAATTCTGGTCACAAAGAAAATTCCAGTCACAGACGAAGAGACTGACAGCGGGCCGGGGAGGAATGGCTCTGGCCTGGCTCTGCACTGGCGCTGCTTTGCCCCTGCGCCTTGGCTGAGCGCTGGCTGGTAGCGATGAGGGGGGGCTGGAGTGAGCGTAACAAAAGCACCAGAGCCAGGTTGTAGCAGTCATTGTTTATTTGACCTTGTCATTTTTTAAGAAACATCCCCACAGTTATAAAATACGGTATTTCTGTTTGCAGTGAAATGCTGACCAGACAGTAACAGTTGGCAATAATTGGTCACAATCATCTGTTTTTTAAAAAAAAAAAAAAAAAAAAAAAAGCATTTATATAAGTAAGTCACTCCCTCTCCCTTTTAAACTAATGGATAGGGTTTTTTATTTAAGCAGCTTGATACTGTTGCATCTGTGTGAGACTTAATAAATAAGAAACCATCTCTCAGTGACTATAAACAGAAATATACATTCAGGAGTATTTATTGGCTAGGGCTGCAAGTCAAGTTTATTGCCATTGAGGGTGTAACTCCATGCCTAGTACCTGGCTGCAACTAAGTGCATGTATACGTGGTACCTTAGCTGGGACAGTGAAGGAACCCTGGGAGTGTTGCTATAGTTTGTACAAATAAATGCTGCGATGAGAACTAGGATTGCTTGAAAGCTGTCAGTGGTGCCCACCACGCACGTGGGCCCTCGCCGAGGTGTTTGGCTTTTCAAGGAACAACCGTGGGGTCCAGAGCTGCTCTCCGTACTTCAAGGGAAGGAAAGAAGTAGGGCAGTTGTCTCATCCCGTTTCTGCTCCTCTTTGATTAGAAGGAGCACTTGGTAAGTCACACGCATCACATCACACTCACACGCACGCAGAGCAAGCTTGGTACAAGAAACAGGCACTTGGGAACAAAAATCCTGATGCTTCACTGGGGGAGCAGCCTTGCTGCGCCTGCCCGCTCGCCTCCCGGTAGCTTATTAAAGGCTGTTCTGAACAGCCGCATCCCTGCTCGCCACCACCTCTTGCCTCTCTCTCTCCTTCCTGCACTTAGAATTGTTTTATAGAATCATTTAGGTTGGAAAAGACCTTTAAGATCATCCAGACCAACCATTAAACACTTCACCACCTTTTAAATGAGCACGCCCGAGCTGGGGGGTGACGACAGGGAGGGGGCCGAGACCTGAACTGTGGCTCTTGAACTGAACTTTTCTGGCTCTTGAAGATGCAAGAGATTCCCAAGACCTGCTTGGTTCATTTTTACTCATGGACTGCTCCCCTGTGGTCCTGGAGGAGGGGGCTGGATCAGTGCACGTTGCTCCACTGCAGCAGGAAAGGGATGCAGGGTTGAGTCTGGGGGCTGCGCTGCTTGGCTAAGGAAAAGGAACCAAAACCTACACAGCCGATAACGTCAAATTTCTGGCTTGAAAACTGGTTTTCAGATACCAGAAGAGTTCTGGAGCAGATGGAGCTGTTTGTAAAAGGAGTAACAAATCACTTCCACACAAAGCTTAGGACCATGGGCACCTGAGCCGGCACTGGGCCCCATCCCTGGGCTCACTCGGGCTCTGCCACCCTCGCTGCTGGTTCTACCTGCTCCAGGCCTCGCTGCCTCCACACCAGACCCTCCCTCTGCTGCTGCGCCCCAGCCCCCCCTTGGTCAGCTCCTCTTCTACCTGCCGCTTCCTTCCCCAGACAAGAGCTTCCTGGTTACCAGCATCCATCTCCCCCCTACCTTCCCTCTGTGAAATCTGCACCATCTCGCCTCAAGCGATCGTCGAGCTACAGCACACTTGTTTCCTCCTGCCCTGCATCCTTCTGCAACCTTGCCTTCCTCTCACTCACCCAAGCTGTCCAAAGGTCACTTACACCAGCCCCAAAGCCATCACCCTGAGCCCCCCTGTGTCCTCCTGCACCCTCCTTCAGTCCCCCAGCAGGGCTGGGGGCAGCTGCCTGGAGCCACGTGGAGAGCTGGAATGAAATCTTTGTTAACGAGTACCTAACAGAGCCTGGCAGAAGTGCTGGGAGGTGGAGGGGGAGGCTCAGGCGGAGATGTGACCAGCAATGGCAGTGTCCCCTCTCTCTGCCCAGCAAGGTCTCCCCTGCCAGGGCCACCAGCACCAGAGGCAAGATGCAGCCTAACCCGAGGCACGCCGCCCGCCCGCTCTGGCTGCCCAAGGCTTCCCTCCAAGCCTCTTTCTTATCTTTCTAATGCACGGAACAGGTTTTTGGGACCGCACAGAGGAGCAGGATGACGGGGCTGCCCATCCCCTGCCTCGCTCCGCTCCCCCTGTGGGGATGGCCCAGAGCCAGCCCGGCCGAACCTCAGCAGGGAGGCGAGCACATGCACCACACGCACACAGACACCCAAAACTTTATATACACGGGACATTCCCAGGAAGAAGCACTTAATACATCCTTTAAATAACTCTGACAATAGTGTTCTGTCTCCTATCTACATGTTTCAAACACGTTACCGATGCTATGAAAATATAGCAAACATACAAAAATATATACATTTAAAAAGAAAAACAAATGAAACCAAAACAAACCACCATATAAATTACTTACAATATACATAACGTGAAATGGTGCTGATGAAGTGACTGCAGGCCCTGGGGAGGCTTCAGCCGCTGCCCAGCACCCCCGGGCTGCGAGCAGGGGGGTGCCC